ACGCCTGGCGACTGACTGGACAAGTCCTTGTGCAGTTTCATTGACTGGATTGCCTGTTTCCTAGGGATGAGAGAAAGTGACTATGCCAAGGTTACCCAGCTGGCTTTATACCTCAAGTGGGACTGGAATTCATGGTCTCTTGGTTTCCAGCCTGGTGCCCTAATCATTATAACAAACTGTCTCAATCCTATTTTTATTTGTACTTTGTTCATTAAGTCATTAATATGAAAATGGGGGGAGGGGTGTTGTACTAGTGAACATATTTGGAATTCTGATACTTTTGCAAAAACAGCTGCTGGGTGAAAAGTTTGTCCAGTTACAAAATGGCTGCCCTACAGACAAGATTTACTAGAATGCTACCAGCTATCCTATCTCCTACTCCCTACAGGATACTTTTTCTTTTTGCATCTTCTTATCTTTTTCTGTGTGGGAGTGTGGGACAGTAAGATTTCTAAGCCAAATTCTGGACTGCAGCTGCCCAGCATTTTAATCATTTAAGAAAGTGTTTGGGACCCTCTTGAAGACACCTGGACAACAAGGAAGACATTTGGGGATCATATATAACTTGAGTCTTTTGATGAACAATCCACAACTTTTTAAAATTTGTACAATTTAAGTCATAACTCATGATTCACATACATAGCTAAGCTCTGCAGGCAGGAACATTATCTCTCCACTTGCTTCTTGAAGCATTCGGAATACGGTACTGTTCTACTTCATATATCTTGGCTATGTCTTTCTCTCTCTTATCCACATACTCCTCCACCCAACCCCAACAGAACATAAATGTGTCTCCTAACAATGACTCTACAGCTAGTCTTTAGGTTACAGTGGCAATTGGGACCAAGATTGCAGTTGCTAAGTGATGTGGCCATAAAGTACAATGTCATGGATTGCATCACTTAGCAACAGCAAATTGAGACAGTCCTAGTTGCGTTCAGATGTGTGGGTTGTTAAGCAGGATACCTGTGAGTGCAGGGAAGCTGAAAGAGGGAAGACTTCTTTGCCTGTAGTCTCCAGCTATCTGAAACTTTCCCCAATACTATCAGATTGGTAGGGAAGCTGTATTTAATCAAAGAAGGCTAGGTAAGAACATTATTTAAATTAATAAAAAGCAAAAGGAACAAAATAATCCCTGACTATGCATATAACTATGATTCATGAAATGTGTAATGAGGTGCCCAGTATTTCTAGAAGATGCTATATGAGCTATCTAAGTTCCTTTTCATCTTGGGGCACTGTGTGGTTTTTCCTTTCTAGACCCCAGGTCCAGCAGCATATCACAAACCCAGTGCAGATATCTACAAAAAGAGTGCACCAAAATATACCATGGCAGGCCGTCTCAAAGATCACAAGACTGATAAAATGCCTGGACCTGCAGAATACGAACTGGGAAAGGTGAGAAAATTATTTTTTTTCCCCAGAAAAAAAAGAAAAAAAACCTTCCCACCTGAAAAAGTGTTACTTAACTTTCACAAGGTAATGACATTTATTAGGGTTAAAATGTATGGAGGGAAGAACGTTGTATTTGTTCTTGAACAATAGAAGAAGCAAGGAGAACGTTGTGCAATATACTTCATTTTTAAGAATTCAAAAGCTCTGTGCTTACCTTCGTCCCACCAATATTCAATAAATATGATCTTTTCCTTTACCCTGCAACATTTGTATAATCCATGATCACATTCCAATAACTTGTTACATTAGGAATGAAATTGGGCATTCATTCTTCCTAAAGAAACTTCCTGCTTTCTTAAACTACAGTTGACTGTGATATTCAAAATTCCAACTGTAATGTAAGCTCTTCCCACAAACTAAGATATAAATCTGTAGCTTTTAGTTCTAATCTAAGAAAAGTGCTGAAAAGCTTTCTCTGGCCACGCACCCATTGCCCCATGCTGTCAACAAGTCTGATCGTGTAAAGAAGGCCCATCATATTGAAGCGTCAAAATATAGACCAGTGTTTCTCAACCTTGACAACTTTTAAGATAGGTGGACTTCAATGCCCAGAATTAGGTGTTGAAATCCAGCTATCTTAAAAGTTGCCAAGGTTGAGAAATGCTCATCTAGACCGTGAATTTTGTAAAGCCTAGATTTTTATAATCCAGACATGATAGCTCAAGTCCAGGACCTCAAGAGGAGCTATAGAGGAAGAAAGGTATTGAAGGAAGAAGGAAGCAAAGAATGGAAGAACTGACATTACAAGGATTGCTCTCCCCTTCTTTTCTATTGCCCTTTGACTAGCGTATGCGCTGGAGCTGGAATCCCTAGAGGCTCCAATAGCTTCTTCAACTGTTTCTGCTGATTGCTCCTTTTCTTCTTCTGGCTCTTCTTCTACTAGCTTTTGAAGGGATGCAGGGAGAAAGAATAGGCATGCCACATGACATTCCTCTTCAAATTATATCCATGGAATCTCAAATGGAGAACCTAAGTTTCCATGTGACTTAATGGCGGTTTCATAGGAGACTAAAGATAAAAACAAACAAATCCTCTTCACTCAAATGCAGCTAATTTTCTATCCTTACAATGCTCTGGTTTCTGTTCAGATAGTATATCATCAGATGTGTGCCTTTTAATCAGAGGTTCTGAGTTTTTTTTTAAAAGGCAACTAAAAGTTTTTGCATTCTGAAAAGGTCTGCTGTACCGTAATATACCTCCAGGGATTCCATTATCAAAGTTTCAGAAGTCCTCTAGATGGCAGCAAAGAGACATAGCCTAGGCATAAAAGAGGGATACTTTTACTTGGCTAAGTGGGGGCAAGAAGTTGAGGGTCATGGGTGGCTGAAGGTGAGGTCCCTCATGAGGCTCAAACCTACAGCAGCTGTATCAGCAGGAAAGAATTGGCTGTGCATCCTTTTCTTGGCTGCACTCAGCAGTTAAAAGTCAGGATTGAGAGGTCATAGCATTTGAGACCTCTCCCTTGGGGACCCCATCTGCTAAATGGGCCTTGGTGTCTACCACTACTACTAGGTTTGCTATTATAAACTAGTATATTTTTCTTATTCGAAGAAAATGAATGCTATTAAAATATACTAATTTTACTGTACTAAAATGTACCAATAGCCAGAAGACGTGCCTATTTTGCCTTACCTGTTTTCATCCTCCTATCTCTAGATATCTTGTGCTCCTGTAATCAGTTTTGGAATCAGACATTCCGATTATACAACCCCTGTGATTGTGGACGTTTACTGACTTTGTCCTCTCTGCAGAAATCACATTGGTTTTTCATCTTGTTTTTATATCATGTTGCTCACGTTTCAAAGCTACCTGTTTTTAAAACTTCAAAACCAACTAACAACTGTTTCATGTTTTATAACCACCTGCCTGGAAGGACTATCACAAATATTCAGTAACCAGTTATTGTTTGAGACTGACGTTCTAATCTCTCTGACAAAAAGAATGTGCCACAGCCACCTCTTGTGATGAAGAGAGCCCATTGCAAATTTTGCCCTGCTGAATATATGCCTAGATTCTGACACTATTAAGAGACCATGGTGTCATTTTCCAGAAATCGGAATTAGAAATGTTATATATTATATTTTTTGTAAAAACCTACTTGGATTCCTGCTTCAGAACTATTTCACAGAACTTGCTATTCTTGTAGTAAGTCACATAAAAATATTTTGTATATCACTTTACTATCTTCATTTAGAATAAATAAATTGGAAAGTCAGTGTTTACTTTGTCTTTTTTTCAATGAAAATTAATTCTCCTTTTATAGTACACAATATGGAAAATAGTGAGGATGGCTGGCTGGGGAAGTCTGGGAGTTGAAAGTCCACTCATTTTAAAATGGCCAAAGTTGAGAAAAACTGGCCTAATGAATGCTCTGGGAAAATTGGGAATGTTGTCAAATGATTAAACTGACCTTATTTTCAAATTTAAATGTGAATGTTACTATTTCAATTGTGAGATAAGTTATATTCAGATTCACCTACAAAAGAATATTCATTTGCTTCAAGTGAAAAATACATGTACAGGAAGATTCAAAATGGATCAGCTCTGGATATCCTGTTCTATTCCCCCCTCCCCCCAAAAAAACAAAAAAAAAAACCCTATGGAACCACATATGATGGCAAATTGTATTTTGGAAACCAAAAGTATTAATGAATCAGATATGATATAAAAATCTTGTGTTGTACATCTAGAGTTCTATTCAGTAGACAAATACACAATTGACTTTGTTACAGGTAGTTCTCAACTTAAAACTTTTCATTTAGTGACTCAAAGTGATTCAAAGTTACAATGGCACTGAAAAAAGTGACTTATGACTGTTTTTCACACTTACAATTCTTGCAATATCTCCATGGTCACATGATCAAAACCTGGATGCTTGGCAACACATATGTATTCATGACAATTGCAGTGTCCTGGGGTCATGTGATCAGTTTTTGTCATCTTCTAACAAGCAAAGTCAATAGTGAAGCCAGATACACTTTAAAACCATGTTACTAACTTAATAACATCAGTGATTCACTTAACAAAAAGAAAGATGATAAAATGGGGCAAAACTCACTTAACAATTGTCATGCTTAGCAATGGAAATTTGGAGCTCAACTGTGACCATAAATCGAGCAGTACCTGTAATTGTCCATACTATCTAGGCTTAAATGCTGCTAATGCTTTAATAATAAACATCAGAAGCAAAATATTGATTCTAGCAAGATGAGAATCACTAAGCAATCATTAGTTGTCAAAACATCTCTATAACTACAATGAAATCCTATGCACGTTATTCAAAACTCTTATTGAATTCAATAAAATACAATCTAGGAAAATATGCATAAAATTTTGAATTTTTAATCTAGAACAATACATCAAATTAAAAAAGAACCTTAAGGTTGATTTGGATAAAGTTTAAAAAATGAAGATACATTAACATACTACATGGTTAGAACAACTCAAAACTGGAAAATCAGTTAAGGGATTAATTAGAATGGAAAAGGAAAAAAAGCAGAAATAATGTGGTCATATATTTAAGGTGTTTTCTATTTTGTGAGTGCTTTAAGTTGAACTCTGTTCTTCTACACACCTCTTTGAGAGTTAACAAGCAAGGACCATTGTTTATAGCTGCTGGTTTATCTGAAAATAAAACAATAAAGTAATTTTGCTTTAAAAGACATTCCAATGTGACAAGACTACTTCTCAAAAATGCACATATTCCAACATCAGTCTTTTAAGCAACACTTTTTTCCCCAATTAAAATGGGTATTAGAACATTTTTACTAAACATTGTCAGGATTTTCCTGCTGAACCATAAACTGCAGAAAGCAAATCACCAATATGCTTCTTCTTTCACCAAGTAAAGACAGCAAGCTAATACAAGGGCAGAGGGAAAGAGGCTTCATTTCAGTGAATTGTGTTGCATTTGAGCTTTCAAGCAGAGAGGGACAACATCATATCCCCTTTAAAGAAAAAAGATGAGTTCCGAATGGAGAGATCATGCTGTAATCCATAAAGGAGCTTCTGGGTTACTGTGAAAATTTAAATAATCCTTCCCAAGATATACATCTGAAGGTCATCCACAGCTGTTTTCCATTACCACTTTTTTTACTTCAACTAACATCCAGTACAAAACTTTAATTTCCCTCAAGTTCGTGCTCTTGTTACCAAATAATACAAGATGAAGAAGACAAGAATCAGTCCACCAGAGACATAACAGAGAAGCTTGCGGTTGTCCCTTCCTGACCGAGTCATAGTAGAGAAACGCTTCACGCTTCCTGTGAGAAGACCTGTCACACTCATAAAATCAGAATCCTAAAACAAACAAAAGATAACTGTAATTATAGAATAGATATCCCATTGCTCTAAAATAGCCAAGAAAATCTAGAATCAATCTGAGAGATTTTTTCATTCCCATTTAAAGAAAAGATTAATTAAAACTATTAAATATTTGAAAGGGAAATCTATCAACCATCTTGTTCTTTTTCTTTCTTACTCTTCGGGTTGTTTTTTAGAATTGTGTTTTTATTTCCTTCACTGTATTTTGAGCAACCTAGTCATTCTTCAGTTGAGCGGCTCTTAGATCAAATCAATTAAATTGTAGACATACAAAGCATACTTCTTACATTGGCAACATTCACAATGTGAATGTTGCCAATGAATTACGTGTCTGAGATCCATCATTAGTTTTTATTAATAATGAAAAACTATTAAACTTATATCTAACAAACAGCGTGATGAACAGAACATATCATATGCAAAAATATTACAAAGGATAATATAAAGTGAAAGCTAACGTGCATGAAATAGCAAGCCACAGCTGCCATAACTGGTTGTGATTTACCAGCATAAGAAAGCCATCATTACAGACCACTTGTTATTTTTATAATATGCAATAGCCTACATATGGTTTGTACTTGCATACATAGGAAATCCTTTTGAAATTGACTTCACCAATTTGACTATACAAAACAGATCCTTAAAATATTTGTATTAGCCATTGCTGATACCAGGAGACCAAAGGTTCATATTTGATTTCTTTTGAAAATGTAGCACACGCAAACATACGTGTCTGGAAACTCCGTGGCAGGATAAAATACATTGTTTTGGAATGAAGACAAAATGACGAAAGTTGCCAAGAAGAAAGTTTAGTAGTAACAACTTCTTTGAATGTGATTGGTATAATCTTCTCACAAAATCATGTTTTCATATAACTCAAATGTATTACATAACTCATCCCTCATAGGATGAAAGCACAAGTATATGGAAGGTTTCACTAATAATTCCACATGAATCGCATATAGTTCTTTACCATATTATTCAAGTACTGGTTTTCATCCTCAGCATCTTTGTCAATGTCCAATGCAAGCTAGATTAAAAAAAGAAGAAATTATTGTTTTTAACATTCTCATCTTTGACATATTTTAGTAATAATATATTTGAAAAGAATTGATCAATATTACAATTTTCATTTCCTCAATAGCAATATAGGAAGAAAATCTGGCATAGAGAACTCATTATAATAAATTAGCAGTGCAAACTAACAGCAAGTGAGCTACCAACCGATTTTAGCCGGGTGACTTTAGAGGCCAGATTTTCTGTCATGCGCTTATTTTCCACATCTAACATATCATCCACCGCATTTGTATTTGGACCTGCAAAAAAAAAAAAAAAAAGAGCTGTAACTTGAGAACAGCTAAGAATACACGCAGGAGTTCATAGAAAAGGACAATTAGTGGGTTACCTACAGATCTCTAGAGAATTTCCCACACACAGGGATCATTTCCCCCAAATTCGTAGCAGAATACCTTATGCCACCAGACTTGAAATTTTAAAATTGAAATTTTAGACTAGACAACCTAGAACTATGCCGCCTTCAGTCCGATCTAAGTATAGTACATAAAAGTATCTACTGCAATGTCCTACCTGTCAGTGAATACTTCAGCTTCAACCACAACAATATAAGAGCACACAATAGATGCAAACTCAAGGTAAACCACACCAAACTTGATTGCAGGAAATACGATTTCAGCAACAGAGTGGTCAATGTCTGGAATACTCTACCTGACTCTGTGGTGTCTTCCCCAAACCTCAAAAACTTTAACCTTAGACTGTCTACTATTGACCTCATCCCTTTCCTAAGAGGTCTGTAGAGGGCGTGCATAAGTGCACCAACATGCCTACCGTCCCTGTCCTATTGTTTCTTTTTTATTCATATCCATTTCATGTATTCATAACCATGCTTATACTTATACCTGATATCTAATACTTGCTTGACAAATAAATAAAATAAAATAAATAAATAAAATTCCAGGTTCAAAATGTTATTGAGCTGGCAGAGTTCAAAAATAAATAATCTGTATAAAGACAAAAACAATTAAAAATGGCTATGCCAACAAAGCCTACCCAGTTCCACATACCAGTGTATCCTATCACCATTTCATATGGTCTCCTGCTTGGGCAAAAGGTTGGGACTAGAAAACCTCCAAGGTTCCTTCCAACTCTGTTATTCTGTATTTTACTATTGCCTTTCTTCAGCCCCAACTAAGGTCTTTAAGTGAAAGCAGGAAAGCTGGCGTGGTGGGCCACGGAGAGAAGAGAACAGAGAAAGCAGCTGTTCCCGACGAAGTATTCTCTCCTGTCTGCTGCTTGCCAGATGTTCCACAAACGTCGGTGCCCGTCTCCATCCCCAAAAGGTTGAAGTTAATGCGAAAGGAATGGAGAGACCGAAAACACCCCTTCCTTATTTTGCATCCCTCTCCTCTTCCAAAACTAATGCACACCTGTCAAGGCAATGAAGAAAAGGAGAGCCGCGGCATTCACTCGCTCTTCGATTTCCCCCACCTCCGCGTCTCCTCCTCCTTTTTCTGCACTCACCTCGGCCCCAGTCCGCCATGGCCGCTTCCTGCCTCCGTGTCCCTTCGTGTCCTGCTCCGCCCCCGCGAGAAGCGGAGATTTGTTTTGGTGCGCGGGAAGGAGGAGGGCTCTGGGCTCGGCTGCAGCCGTGGATAGGTCTTTCAGGGAAGGCGGGCTCTTTGGCCTAGGGAGCCTGACGCTGGCGGGGTATTGCGCGTTGCCGCTGCGTGTGAACCAAGGGAGGGCTAGCTTGTAATAAGGAAGCGGGCGCGAGCGCCCAGACGAGCAAGGCTGAGAGCGACACGGCAAGTCTAGCGCGCTGAACGCCCGTCCGTCTCGGGAACCAAAGGGGAAATTCCCTGCTGGAGCGCCTTTGGAGTCTCCGCTCCAGGCAGAGAAATGGTGCGGGCGACCTTCTTTATTACGCAATGTAGGTAATTTCTGCTCTTGGGGGCTACAGGGAGGCTTAAGTGTAGTCTCCCCCTTTCTCTTCCCCCACCACCTTCCCAGCGTCGGTGCCATCAGGCAAGAAGAATAAGTAGCAGACGTTGGGATTGTTAGCGGTGGACTAAATATGAAACGATGACCCACGACGCCTTGACCCAGTGGCTGACCAACCAATTAGAGCCGAGCGCACGATGCCGACTCAACCTGGCATTAATTGGTTTGCGGTTCAGTGTTGGTTTAAAAAGCCTTAGTTGGGTAAACCAGGGTTCAGCTTCCCGGAGTTTTGGCAAAACGTGCAAACCCAGACATAAACAAGGGTTACTTTTCATGATTTAATGGCAGAGGAACACACTGTTCTGGTATCAGCTTTTTTATTGAGGAAAAGGCCCTTGATTAAACATTTGCATTGGAGTTTAGTGTGTGGGGGTGTGGAGGGAGGGGAAAAAAGAGGACACGTCGCAGTTTCAGTGGGGCATCTTTTTATGGGTTGTAAATTGGCAAAGGTCCCATTTCCCATTAGTGGGAAAACTTGAAGTGGCTCTCTGTGTACTCTCCATGCTCAGGGAAAGCTGGAAAACCTCTCTGTTGCTTTCCTTGAACACTGCAAGCTAATAGTGTCCCATATTTGCATATTTCTTGTAGTCACATTTGTCCTGCATTATGCAGATAAATCAAGAGATATTTCCTTTAGGAAAGTGCAGGTATATAGCTTTGAATGCCAAACCTGTCAGCTACTGCTTTGGTGTGGAAGTGCAGAGTCAATTCTACTGCTCCAATTAGTTCCATCTAGGAAAATTTTGAGCATAAACTGAGTGACCTGACAGAGCTCCATAGGTCAACTCCTGAAATTATCTTCCCTTCTCATTTCTTCGTCCTTACATGTTCTTTTTGTGCTTTTATTATTGGTGAAAATAGTCATGGTCATCCTGGAGAAAGTATCTTTTGGTTGCTTAGAGATGACGGTAACTTTGATGGCACACAGCTAATTGATAAAAAAAGTCACAGCCTAGTTTACTAAACATGCATTAAAAAAAAAGATGAGTAGTTTCACATGTTTAAGGTGGAGGAATGGTGGCTCAGCAATTAAAGACCCTGAGCTTGTCAACTGGAAAGTTGACAGCTTGGGTTCAAGATCCAAGCGCCATGCAACAGGGTGACCTCCTGTTACTTACTCAACTCCTGCTCACCTAGCAGTTTGAACATGCATATGTAAATAGATAAAGAGGTACCATTTCAGTGAGAAATAACAGCATTCTGCGTGCCTTGGCCACATAACCACAGAAAAGGTATTCAGACAACACTAGCTCCTTGGTTAAGAAACGGAGATGAGCACTGCCCCCTGGAGTCAGAAATGACTGGGCAGGGGAAACCTTTACCTATGTTAAGGCATTATTATGATATAAATCAAATGCAATTTGCTTCTCTCACTGGTAAAGCAAATCTCTTTTGGAATACGTTGGCCTGCAGAAGTCCTAACCTCTGTTCCCAATATTTTGTTCTAGTTGGAATGCTGCTTGAGAGTTAGATGGTTGAATGATGCTCTTTTACAAAACTACTTGCGAAAGTGCTGGCAATAAATATTATGTTTTAGCCTAGCAAGCAAGAATGCCCAGGTGTCACATGCAAATGTCATAGTACAGCAGTAGCAGGTGTGTTGCTCAGCAGAAGGGGAAAATAACTGTTGTCAGAGGCAATTTCATTACAGTGATTTGTATATTATGCGAAAAGCATCATCAATGGTTTAAAAAACAAAAAGATCAAACACTTATTCAAACATGAATATATTCAAGAGGCCCATATTCTAAATGTTAGGTAGGATTAAATCTGTTTTGAAAGGAATGTTCACAAGTTTTAAGGGGTGAAATGGATGCAAGTATTTATACGGTATTTATATTACCTTTTAAAAATCCATCTTCTGCCCCATTCCAAAAATGCAAAAATGAATATGAAGGTCACAAAAGGAATGCTAATAAGATGTAGCTTTTGCTCTTCCATCATAGATGTAAATAAATTATTTCAAATAAAATCCTGAAGTGACTTTTAACGCATAATCTGTTACTCTGAACCTGTCTTGATTAAAGTTATTTTCAAACTTTAACAGAATCACAGAAAGGAGCTTTTTGTCTTACTTGCATCTAAGGTAGAAGGAAAATGATTCTGTTAGGATCAAAAGAAAGAGGAGAAATGATAGGAGATAGTTTCCTGAAAAGGATAAAAATTTGCAGAGACAAGGCTTACCAAATTCAGATGAATTGTTATGGAGATGCAGTGTTGCAATAACACCTAAAATAATTCATTGTTTAAAAAGATCTCACATTCCCAGAGATGTGGCTAGATTTGGGGGCATTTCTTCATCAATAACTAGATACGGGTTATAAGGAAGATGATATGAAATGGGGATGTTCTTGTTTGTGGTGCTCCATTCCTATATGTAAGTGGATTCCTTTATGTAGTAGGGTAATTACATTTGAACCTAGTGTGACCTATAGCCAACATGCAATGTGGATGAAAGGTGGTGGAAGTGAAATAATGATAAAATGGATTTTCTCCTGTTCATACTTATCAAAAAGGGATCAGTTTAAAAAAGCCTTGCACAACATCAGACTACATCGGCAATTAATTTTCCCCAGGGGCCACATGAAAAACTGGGACTGTTGTGCAGGACCGAACCAATAGTGCTGTGAAGGTGTGAAGGCACCCACACATGCACACCCACATAAATTGAAAAAGAATAGTCACCTTCAAAATAAAAGCAATGCAGTGATATTGTGTGCATCGCTTATACTTATTTGCATTTGATTTCTAATTTCTGATTGACTTCATGTGGGCAGGACATGAACAGCCAAAGGGCCAGATGTGGCCCAGGGGCCACAAAGTACATCTGCACTACATAGTCATAAGGTAGTAGTGATTCTTGACTCATTCTGCTAAGAATTTATATCCATGTCTTTACAAGATGCACAGGCAATCCTTGACTTACAATAGTTCATTTAGTGACTGTTCAAAGTTACAACGGTGCTGAAAAAATGTGATTTGTAACCGTATTTCACATTTACGACCATTGGAGCATCTCTGCAGTCACGTGATCAATATTCAGATGCTCGGCAATAACTGACTCATATTTATGACGGTTGCAGTGTCCCGGGGTCATGTGATCCCCTTTTGTGACCTTTTGACAAGCAAAATCAATGGGAAAACCAGATTCACTTAACTTATTAATTTAACAACTGCAGTGATTCACTTAACAATTGTGGCAAGAACGTTCATAAAATGGGGCAAAAATTAACAAATGTCTCAGCAACAAACATTTTGGGCTCAGTTATGGTCGTAAGTCAAGGACTACCTGTATGTTCTGTGACATGATTTTGACACAATCAATGCTCACATATCCTCTGTGTCAGGGTTCCAACAAATCCCCCTCATTCAAAGGAAAAGTCTCTTGCCGCATCTCAGAAAAAGTAAATTGGTTTATTAGAAATTGCCATGTTGGCGCGTAGCTGGGTGCAGCCGGTACTAAATCACACCATACATTTCCCCCTTGACCCTGGTCTTTCCCCCACCCCCTGGATGTGACTTCTCCAATAGGACACATCCGTCTCCAAGAGTCATCCATCATGCTCTCCAATAACCTTCTTATGCTCCGACAACTTTGGGTTGCTGAGTTGATATCTAGGCATTTCAAGAATGCCTTGTTTTCTCCCACTCCCTTTTTCTGGCAGCTAAAAAGACCAAAAGGAGTATCTTTTTAGTTGATACTCTGAAGAATTATAGTCTGGTCTCTAAAGCTAAACATTCAAGTCTTTATCTGAACTCTTATTCTTTTGGATGCCTTCTCGTGTACTTAATGCTTTATCTGAATCAAGATCCAGTTGGATACAGCTACTGACAGTCTGTTCAGTGCCCTGATTTAGATTTTATTTCTATGTAGTTTTGTATGCATTCTTTCCCTTGGATAGCTGTAGAGTAGCTGCAGCTGTACGAAAGCTTGTTAAAGGGGAGGAGCTCCCTAGAGGTCAATTCTTTCTTTGCTATAATTTCTGGATCAGTAACCCTGCATTACAATTCCCCACTGCTCCGTCTGTTTTTCTGCTAGTGAGATAATCCAGGAGAAAGAAAACAATACCAGTGTCTTCTCACTTGAAAATTGCATTAGGAGGATTGAGGGAAGACAGGATAGTTGCTTCATTCAAAAAATGAAGCAAAAATCTTGCTAAATAACTATGTACACAAAAACAGCAGTGCTATAAAGAAGGTAACTTTTGCCTTTTGCTTCTAATTAGCTTTATTCTTAAATTTACAGTTTTTAATCCAGGACACTGGTGCTGGCAAGAATGGAATTTAGAGTGAAAAGGTGTTTTGTCTTTTATTCTTGCTAGTTAAAAATACTGAGTGTATAAAGAGGCTATTTGCACAATATATTTTAAATAAATTATCCATTATGCTGAGAAGAGTGGATGAATGGGTGGTAGAGGAGTGTGTGAATATTTTCAAAGGAATCTAGATATTGAATTTTGAAGGAGTCTCACTATGTCGGTAGCAGTAATACTGCTCAATGGATCTAAAACAGACCTGATTCTAACCTTACAGTTTTCCAATTTGTCAATTCATCTTTGTGTAAAGTTCTTGTCTGTTTTGCAGTATTCCGCTATATTCAGTTTGCAAATCAAAATTTTAAAAAACCAAAACAGCTTTTTTCAAAATGTATATTTTTTTCAAAAGAAAATCCAAAGTGGTAGAGTTACAGGTGACTGTTACAGATTTAGTGGTAAGATATGCCAAGTGCACTTTTTGTCAGAGTGTCTCAGTCTTGGTTCCCAACATTTAAGATGAAGGACCTTGGTTCACCATCTATTACAACTGTTATCCTGAAATTCATAATGAATTCTGCGACTTTCAGGATATGAGTTGAGCACAGGGGTACTCGTACTAGAAATAAACATATCTATAATCTATTTGTTGATGTGCATAAAAAAACCTGGGTCAAACATGTAGAGAGAAATAGAATGGCTTTGGTTTTTGATGAATGATAAGGCTAAATAAATGAAGTACAATTTATATATTGGTATGTAATGACTTATTTTGTAGCAATAACAATAGCTACAAAAACCCTGGCGAAAAAAAATCAGAAGGAGTTGAGTAGCATGTTTTCTTACTAGTGGATTTATAAAAAGGAATCATCTCACTTCCATGAGACGAAGCTTGTGTCTTTTAATAAAATTCATTAACCAGAAAAAATACAGGTAGTCCTCAACTTACAACAGTTCATTTAGTGACCATTCAAAGTTACAACAGCGTTGAAAAATGTGACTTATGACTGTTTTTCAAACCTTTGCAGCTTCCCCTGATCATGTGATCAAAATTCAGATGCTTGGTTCATACTTATGACACTTGCAGTGTCCTGGAGTCATGTTTTGTGGCCTTCTGACGAGCAAAGTCAATGGGAAAACCAGATTCACTTAACAACTGGGTTACTAACTTATAAACTGCAGTGATTCACTTAACAACCATGGCAAGAAAGGTAAAATGGGGCAAAGCTCACTTAACAAATACCTTACTTAACAACAGAAATGTTGGGCTCAGTTGTGTTTGTAAGTCAAGAACTACCTATACCACTGTTCTCCTGGTGTTTTGCTCCTCCCCTAGAGTAAGACAGCTGTCCTCCTGGTGACTACACTGGGTCTCTGTTTCCCCAATTCCACTAAAGGGTATGAATTTCATCATGGGAGTTTTTGGTCTTTTGGTCCATGTGAAGAAAAGATTGAGAATTACTGCTCCACAGAATTCCCTATTTTTATGCTTTTAATCTGGTTTAATAATTGTGGTGGAGACTTTTCAAACCCCAACCATAATTCCTAAAGGCTATTAAATTGATTTCAGAGGATTTAGAAGGCAAACTTGTCCCTAATTTCTGATAAGTAGGTCAGAAATGATTTGGATGACTCAAGAAAACAATAATAACGGAGCAGTGAAACACCAACATTTAAGACGATGTACAGGGATAACTTTTCTTATCTTGGCTGATTATAATGCCTGGGACCATACTGGAAATTTTTATCAGTTATACTTGTTATCAAATCAAAACTGTAGATTTGAAAAATTGTAGTGAAATTGTGTGATCATATTTTTTGTAGCATTTAAAAAAATATGCTAAATTAGTTACAAATGCCATTAAGTTCTTTCCTCATATGATTTCAGGGCTACAACAGCCAATTCCAGTTACACATTATTGGCTGTATGTAGAAATTACTTGTGCCGGGTGGGAAGGTATTCTATATAATGTTCTCTGCACAGAAAAAAATGACTACAATAATCTGATTTGTTTTTTTTAAGTTTTCAATCTCTCTGCTGCATGTTTATAGTATGAGGAGTAGTCAAATGTTGTTGTTTCTTTTAAACAACTCTGGAACGAAATGAAGCATTTGCAATCAGCTTTGGGAAATCTTTTGCCAGAACTGCTGATCCTGGCAGTTGCTCAGTGATACACACATTTTGGCACATTGTTCCTCTTCATTTAAATGTTATTCCATGCTATTCTTGAAATTTGCACATTAAAAACAAGCAGTTTACTTATTTTAAAGACACTTCATTATTTCTGTGGCAACTAAATTGCCTGGTGTTTTCCTTAACAGATATGTAAACTGTGTAGGACAAACACTTTAGAAAGTGAGAAGTGACTGAAATAGTAGCATTCATGATATTCTGGGAACTGTTATTTTCAGTTCTGGTTAGTAGCCAACAAAATTTTTAATAGTTTCTGCCTCTCTACACAGAGAACTAGGGAGCACTTGCTAAAGGCCCCTTGCTAGGAGGTACAGCATGAGGAGAACCACCAGATCCTCTGTAATTCCTGTCCTTTGGAATAGTTGCCTCCTGAACATGGATGTCCCATTCTACAAGCAACTCATTAGATGATTAAAACATGGCTCTTCCAGAGGGTCTCTAGGGATTAATGTTACACAGCAGCACCATTTGTCAGAACTGCATAATTTTAAATTTTGACCTCTAATTGCTATGAGTTAGTTTTCTTCTGACACTGCATTCTGTTTTTGTAAGCCATCTGAAGCTTGGTTAGTCAGGTAGATCAGTAAATGAAACATGTACCATGTTCAATCCCTCATATCCCTCACTATAAAAGAATAGTTTCTATATAATGAATGATCTAAATGTTTTAAAAGAAGGCATTCCAGAGTGGTCAATATTGATTCCCAAGAGACATTGGAATTGTCCAAGGTGTTATTATTTAATCTTCAATTTGATTCACAGACTGGGACCGGTAAAGACTTAACAATTCAGGCACTAATCAAGGATCCTGTTAAGGTTACATCTACATATACAAGCAGTTCCGAGTAGAGTGGTTTTTTTTTTTTTTTTTTTGGGGGGGGGGGGGGGGGAAAGTCAGAATATTCAGTTTTATTTTTCAAGACCTCCATGTTCCTAAGCAGCAGCCCTTTGGGTATTGCTCCAGGGACTCCTAATACTATTGGTACAACCATTGATTTCTTCCTCCACATTTGCTCAACTTTAATTTGTAAATCACAATATTTCGGGTTTTTTTTCTAGCTGTTTCTCTTCAATTTATGCATCACCTGGTATTGCAATATCAATGTACCAGACATTTTTCTTTTCCACAATAGTGATGTTAGGTGTGTTATGGGCCAAATATCTGTCTGTTGTTATTATTATCCATCGTACTAATAGTTAAAGCGGTGTTCATTAAATTATTTTCATATAATAAATATTTGAGGATTGGTGAACTTCGTAAAGGGATCCGTAAGCTGAAGAGTTTGAGGGGCCCTGATTTAAATCATAAGGTTCAACATTATGATTGTGGCAAGCTCTTCTAACATCTGCCTTGATAATGTGCCTGTCCCCTTCCTCTGTCACAGTTGTTACCATCACATACTGTGACATGCACTGTGATTAGCATGACTACTGGAGGGATACAGACATATATCTGCATTCTTAAACAGCTACTGTCTTTGTGACAACATAGACCGAATATTGGACCTAGGGATGTGGAGAACTTGGCAACCAAAGAGTTAAGGCCTTAGGGTGGAAAGGTTACCCCCACCTCATGTTTTCTAAGCAGTATCAGAGATTTGAATCTGAGGGATGAGTCAATGTGAGAGATATTCTGATTGGTGAGCACAGCTTTAGTATGCTTTCAGACCTCCAATGTTTTTTCACCAGAAAATGTATCGCCATCTGAACCCAGCAAGGAGATATGGGTGGCTTTGCTGGGAGTGCATCCTTTTATTATCATAGGGGAATTTCTTTTCTTTTGTTTTATATTTACAGAGAGAAATTAGGACAATGGGTGGAGGAGGTGATTTGAGGAGCTACATCATGCAGTTATCTGTTTTAAGGTAATCCTCGACTGACGGAAGGGGAGGCTAGCTAGGTAATGCTTTGTTCAAAGGACATTTATTAAATGCTGAAAAGCCCAAAGAGGAAGAGGATTAGTGTGTGAGCAAGATAGCAAGCTACTGGCTGGTTTTACTAGGAGCTTCCATCTGCTTTGTACTTTGGCATCCTGGAGTGGCTAGGCTCGCTAATGTTCCTCCCTCTTCTCATCAGCTGTTTAACAAGGACTCTTTGCATCAGTAAATATCCAGCCACGCCACAAAGCCTTCTACTACATTTAACTGCAGTCGGCCCCGTTCCTCTGGGCAGACATGACACTCCAAGCTGTGCTAGAGACAGTAGAAAATGGGAAGCAAGATACTGTCCTTAAGGTGCTACAGACCTACAACCAGGAGGTGAGTTTTCATTGGGAATTGTGGCACCCTGACGGAGTGCTGAACAATTCACATTGCATGTTTTAATGATGTTCTTGTGATGCTCCCTTCAGTTTTATTTGCCTGTATTATTGGGCAGTATATCCTTGTTGTTAATCTTTTAACCTAGCCATTTGGGTTTCTCCTTTCCTTTATCAAAAATGAACTGCAGCTGGGATACAACAGTGAAAGTATATGCTCTTGTGAGAGGATGAATCATGCCAGAGAAATAGTGGGGAGAACATTTCAGATGAAAAAGGGGAAAAAAAAAAACCTAATTGACAGGCAGGTGTACAAAATCCACAAATACACAGTCCTAGGAAATAGTGTGTGTAAATAATTATGTTGATTATTACTAGTTTAGATAAAATCTATCGTAACCTTGGAACTTTTCATATAACAACTGATAAAATAAATGGTTGTGATGAGACTAAGTGTTCATACTTAGTTACCTGTAGACTTGCTTCAAAATGTTACACAACCTGAACTATGTCCTTCAGTATTAAACATTTCTAGGAACTTGAAATCAAACTAATAAATATGCAGTTGGGAATTGATTTATATTTGATTTTATCATGGATACTTTTTGCTCTATACATCTCTGTGACTTTCTCTGCAACAGATTTTCAGAATAGCTGCATGTAATACATGTAACTCCAAATGTTATTTTCATAGAGGAGAATGAGAAGGAATATGAATATCAATTGGTAGGTTGCATTCTTTTCATACACATCTATGAAGCTGCTATACAGGTAGTCCTCAACTTACATCTAAGTCAATAAAGGGGATTTATGATCTGGATTCAAAGATCCAATAATCAGGTCCCCTGTGATGACCCAGGGCGGGATACAGAGTAAACACAGTCACAAAACAGTTGAAGCTCCTTTTATTCCTTCACTTTTCTTCAAAGCTCCAAACATTGACTGGAGACAAAAAAACTCCCCCACAAGCAGTTCCATTTAGGAGGAAATGCCGTTTAAACTACAAATGCCTATAAATTATAAAGAGTAAAAGCAACACAAACCACACTGAAGCAATTAAGAGAACCAGGCAAGATAAGGGCTTGATGATGTCCACAGATATCAGAACACACACTGGGAAGGACACCAAACTCAGAGAGGAACGACAGACTAGAGATATTTCCACGCTTTGTTTCCAGCACTGGCCCATATGCATGTCTGTCCTTTTAACCAGTTCTCACAGCTGCAGCCCATGAAGAGGATCAAGTCCCTTTTCTCCCCTGTAGACCATGCCATTCACGTCTCTCCCTTACCCTCTCCTCCCTGCGTGCCCTAGGATGGAGAGGGGATGGGCCTGAGTCTTCCTCTGACTGCCCAGCTGGTCTCTGCCCTTCCCCAGCCTCCTCCACAACCTCTGGAGCCACACTTCCACTCCCTGTTGGCTGTTCCTCCTCTCCCTCGGAGTCAGTCTCCAACAGGAGCATGATATCCCCTTAATAATCCTGTGACTGAACCACTCAGTAACAAAGCTACATTTATAATCATTTGTAGCATCCCACAGTCAAGTGACTGTATTTGACAATGTTTTGCCAAACATTTTTCACTTTGGATTTTTGGCAAAATGGCGCCCATAGTGAACCATTGGTTTGCTTAACAATTGCAGCTTAACAACTGTGGCATTCGCTCAATGATCATGGATTCACTTAATAACCTAAGTGATCCGGTTAACAACTACGACAAAAAGGTAATAAGATCAGGTTGGTCATATGACTGTCATGACATATGACGATAATGGGCAGGCTCTATTATGGTTGTATATCAAGAACTATATACAATATTTGGCTATTGTTCATCAATTGAGGAGGTCTCTAAAACTTCAAGCAGACTTTTTTATATATAGTTGACCATAGAACCTTCCCAACTGGAAATGTTGTGAGAGAATGAGCTCTGCTATTTTGACCTGTCCAAAAAATGTTCAACCAGGAAGTTTTATCTTGGTGAAAACTTTAACTTTAGTAATGATAATATAAATAATGTTTACTCTGGGGGATAAAATATCAGATTATCTTGTCTTTTCAGATAGTGATTGTTTTTTTATAGTTTTGTTTAGAGAAAATGTGATTGTAGTTCCATTGCTGCGCTACAGAGAAGTTGAAACCTTGTTAACATATTTCTCCATCAGTCTCAGTGTGTGGTGGGTAGATGCCATTCTCAGAAAACACATGAATGATTCATGGGTACCTCTCAATATGGAAAAAGGCTAATGCTGAGGCTTTCTAAGAATTTGTGCCAGATAACTCCAGAAGGTACTGCATAATGGATAAAGGAAAACATATGGCAATTCCTTTCCTAGTTAATAATAACATAGAAATATATCTTGTTCCAAAAAGACCTGATATAATTCTAAAAGTAGCAGTTGTAGCTCATGTTCCTCTTTTAAGCTGTCACCACCCAAAAGTAGCTGAGAATGGATTGCTTGATATGCTTATAGCTTCTAACTAACCTATAATAGTCTGTTGAGAACAATGTCAGGCATACTTTTTCAGGACATTGCAAGCTGGATATTTTCATTTGTGGAGAAAGAGAGAACTGCCTTTAATAGTCATATTTTTAAAAATTATGGGGTAAAATATGCTATGATACGTGAAAATTCTTGGATTATATTAGAGCTGATGTCTCTGATTTCAGTAACCAAGAATGACACACAGGTATAAACTGCTTTGAACTTTTGCTTTCAATTGCCAAATACAGTGAAGCTTATTAACGGATTTCCAAAATGGAATAATAGTTATATGAATACACTTTAAATAAATAAAACAACTAAAACAGTTGTTTAAATTTCCTTCTTCAGAACATGATTGGCAACTGGGAAGAAACTTCTATTAAGCTGAAGGTATTTGCCATTTGAGAACATTTGGACAAAATCCCAGTTTATGAACTGGGAGATCATTACAAACTAGTGAGAAATGCCTCAGTTAGAAAAAAGGTAATGAGAGGCAAACCTATGCATGAAGTCTTGCTCATTATCTTCATCTGAAATGTGCAGTGGTAGAAAAAAGTTGGTAAACATGTGGTCTATGTTTAAATTATAATGTCAAGCCAGTGCATGTTTGAACTGACTATTTACCTTAGAATATGCCTCAAAATATTTTACAGTGCCTAGAGTTTACTTCAAAAAACAAGCAGTCATAAAAAGATTTTTTAAAAGATAGGTTTGAAAATAACTGCCCCAATTAATAAAGCTACTTAGAAAATAATACTCCATCTTATGTTTCCTTTTCTTTCCTTCTTTACTTAGCTTAATATTTAATTGGTTAGCATCTGAGTAGGTAGGTATTTGGAAGAAATTAATTAATTGTCATTTGCTTTAAAAATTCTCTTATGTTTAGAGAAAATTATTTTTTTAATTCATTCAATGAATTTTCATTTTTGCTTTCTCAGAATTCTCACTGTTTCACCTTTGATGATGAAGAACAGGAAGAAAGAAAGGTATGTTGTTATATCATTGTTTGTAGTCCACCAGGAATATTGGGTGTAAGAAATAATAAGGCATATTTAACATAATATACATATAAAAAGGCATATTTAACATAATATACAGTTTTGCTTTTGAAGACTAGGGGTGCCTACAGGAAGAAGAGAAACGCTGGTAATGTCCAGTGAGAATTAAATCCATCTGGGTGAAAGGATGGTGTTTTTTTTTAAAATAAAGTTTTATTTGGGTTTTCACACACAAAATACAAGTAAAACATCTTTTTTGAAAATAGCATGGTCCCGGGTTGAACTTCTTTATACAGACACAAAACTCAATTTCATGCTCCTTTTTGTATTCTATTCCATATCTTATACTATTTTACATTTTCTATATAGTTTTTCCCCTCTTTTAATTTTCTCAATTTTATTTTGATTATCTCATCTCAGTTCAAATCATTATATTTATACTTTTGTCTGTTCTGTTTCAATTTCATATTATCTTTTCTCATTAAACAAATTTTCTCCTGTAGTTACTAATTGGAGTATGACACCTTTATATCTTTTAATTACATCCATTCAACTCTTATTTAAACTTCAATATATACCTTAAGTTTATGACCTTCAATATAATACATAATACATAACTTCCAATCGAATTCTGCTTGGCACATTCTTATAATACACACTATATTCTTTAAAAAAGGAAGAAAGATTGTAAATATATGTAATTATAAACCCTCATTCCATTCCAGTTCAGTTCTATCATTAATAATCATTAAAACCATAACATCTTTAACACTTCTTTTCAATTAAATATCATACTTCCTTAAAAATACATATAATCTCCATAATTATTTTTTCCATTATTTCTCTTCACATATGTTTTATAAATCATTAAATATACCTTTTGTTACATTTATTTATTGACAAGCATTCCACTGAATTACGATAGCTATTTTATCACACATTTTAATCATACATTGTTTGATATTTTCTAAAATTATTTCTGCTTCTAATATAACAATACTATCTTATGTACCTTTGCAGAATCCCTTTTTCCGTTAAGTTTTCACCCATTATCTCTAAATAGACCCTGTTTCTCTATATTTTGCTTCTGTCCTTTATAACTTCTTTTCCTTCCTTTCTTCCCTCTCATCTTCTCCCTCCCCTTTTTACCCCCTTGTCTCTCTACTTCTAATTCTCTCTTCTGCATTTCCCTCTTCTGTTGCTTTCTGATTTTATACTTATTTTTCACTCTATATCTTTTTGGAGTTGTTTTTCCCAACCTTAAACTTTCCATTCTCTTTCCCCCCTTTCCTCCCCCCCCCATCTAAGATTACTTGTTCATTAAAGATGGCTTCTTCTTTGTTGCAATCTTCTTGTTCTGCAGGCATTTCTTGTTGTTTCTCATAATTCCAAATCTCCATTTCTAAAAACTGAAATATGAAGCCAAAAGAATCTCTCCCTTCTTGTGCATCTTCTTTGTACTTTTTAAGTTCCATTTTCAGTTCTTCTAAAAGTGGAGCCATTTAAAAAAGTTTTAAACAACCACCTGATTGATTTTAGTCATTCAAAACAATAACCAAGAATCCAGAAATCATCAAGTAATCCAGATAGTCCCGAGTTATATCTTCTTATTTCTTTTTCGACTTTCTCTTCCTGGGGTTTTTGTTGTGATATTTCAGTTAGAATGTATCTTTTGGAAGTCTTGTTGAGATTTTGCTGTAAGTTCTTTTTTAATTCCAGGCAGTCTCATCCCTTCCAGATCCTGTCCTTTTATTCTTCCTCTCTCCTTTCCTGTTTTCAAAAGCTTTTAATTATCCAGAAATCTTTATTATCCCTTTGACTGTTTATTTTCAGCATTAAATGCCTATTGATGTCAAAGTGGATTTTTTTCCAATTTCTTGCTTGTCTCTTAGCTGTCAGTATAGGAAAAGGAGAAAACCAAATCTTTTCTCTTTTCTCTCTCCTTCGCAGCTTAAAAATCTTCTTAGGGAACAATGTTATTGTTTTTTAACAGTTTCAATTCCAGGGTACCTTATTTGTTGCTTTTGCTGTTTGACCCGGTCAACCAAAACTTTCTCTTCTTATCTTCCTCCTGCACATTCTTTTCCGGTTGAGTTCTTCTTTGTGGTGACCATTTCTGACCACCGCTGCAACCGCCTTCGGGAAAGGGAGTAATGGCCAGCTGGGGAGGAGAGATGCGGCTCTCCTCAATCCTGCTGGCAGTCTCCCCCCTCTTCACCACCTCTACGGGATGGCTTAGCCCTGAAACCAGCCGGCTCGGGGCGCTCCAGCGGCGAGCACGGATCGAAGCCTCGCAGAGACGAGGTTTCGGTCTGTCGCTGAAGAGGCTCAAACCGGAAGTCCTCAAGGTAAAAGGATGGTTAAGGTATATAACATTCTGTGCCCTTTTAGATGTACTGTACCTTTCAGTACTCTCAGCCAGCATTGCTAATGATGAGCAAAGTGGGTAGTTGTTGTCCAACAATATCTGAAGGGCTCCAAACTCTGGAATACTTTGGTAGCTGAACATCTTGTTCTGAATCTTGTATGAGCTTATAAGGCTATCCAAGAGAGTGTCTGCTTGTGGATCAGGTATCAGTCTTGATACTTCAGTATCAGTCTTGATACAATTACAATGATTAAGGCAAATACTACAAGAAAAATTCACTCATTTACACATACACACATACAAATACATAGCGCCCCAAAATATCAGAAGTTCTAGCTGTACAGGTTTCTATTTTTAGGTTCCAATTTAATCCAGCGTCATTTCCCATTTGCCAGTACAGACCAGATTTTAACTTCCATAGCTGGGCACAGATATTGTTGGAGCAGTAGTGCCAAAAATGCAGTGACTCTCGTCTTTCTTAGTTCTGCAGAACCTTCAAGCATAAATAAAGATCTGGAAATGCTGCTATCAGTTTAAATAGATTTCCCTATTTAAATAAACCTCCTTTCTTAGAAATTATGAACATATAACAATTAGAAGTATCAAGTATGATTAGTGACTATACATAAGCACTACTCGTAGAAATCCCCCAAAACAATTCCCCAAATCTTGAGAAAGCATAGCTTGGGTGAGCTGCAACCAATTGAAATAGATGCTACTGAGTTATATGGACCAAGAGTCTGATAAAGCAGCTTCATTTTATTTATTTATTTATTTATTTATTTATTTATTTATTTATTTATTTATTTATTTATTTATTTTATTTATTTTATTTATTTTATTTATTTTATTTATTTTATTTATTTATTTTATTTATTTTATTTATTTATTTTTTTTTTTTATTATTATTTATTTATTTATTTATTTATTTCCCATCTTTATTATTTTTACAAATTGGCCAACATATCCAACACAGGTTCCTCCTCCAATTGTATGTCTGTCTAGGTGCATGCTGTGTCTAAATGGAAAAAAATACAAACAGCTATATATATATTTCTGTAGTAGTAATAAGTATTTCTGTTCACCATATATCATTGTACACCTTAACATCCGGATGTAATTCTCTACTGTATATGGCATTTGTAAAATGCAGAAAATGATGCAAAATCTCTTGCACATACCAGCAAATTATAAAGGAAATTATAATTGGTAGCAGCTAGCAAGTAATTACATGTAAGATGCACTTCATTGCAAAAATATGATGCTGCATTAAATGCACTCTAATAATGCAGTCTAACTTTGATCAGCCGACAGCAATTTTTGTGATCTCACTGTTCTTACCGTTACATACCACTGATGCATACTATTTACAATCTGTGCACATCATACTGCTGTTATATCTATTTTAAATATTACTATTTAATAGATAACTATTGAAGACCTATTGTTTTAAAAAGCACTGCTCTTTTTATATATTCACAATAAACAGGATTGCTTTATATGGTTCACTTTTATTGTATTATTGGTCAGCTTGGAAGGCAAGATGGGTGGGATATGTAACAGGGTGCTCAAAAGAAGACAAATTCTTCATTAAACACAAAATCCTATATTCAAGACAACTTTATTTGTGATCAGAAACACATACCAAAAGCAACAATTCTCTCCTTTCTTGGATTATTATTATTCAACAGTAAGAGATGAAGGTATCATCTGCATGCAGATATCTTTCTTCCATTTATTACTGGAGGATAAAGCTGGTACAATTTGTTTTTTTTCCTCTTCCTACATATCAGATGCTTCCTCATCCATAACATTTTTATGGATAGTAATTTATTACATCAGTCCTAGAGGTATTTAAATCTCACTGCATTTATCTATGATGCTCCAACATAAACCTATTGTGGTAATAGATTCAGGGGGCATCAAGGGCACGCTTACAAACTTTACTGAGATTAGTCCTCAACTGTATTGTTACAGCAAGAAGTTAGTATACCATAGAGCACGAACCTCTCTTGACCTGCTTGCCTGCTGCTGAACATGCTCTTGTCTACCAACTGATTATATAGGGAGGGAGCAGAGCTGTTTGTTCTCTGTCTTACTGTGAGCTGATCATAAGCTTATCCTTTCACCTGAGAGCAGGGCAGCCCACAAATTCCCATGCTTGGCTGGAGCCTTATAAGTCCCATCACAGGATTTCACATGGCAACAGCAAATTCCTCAATCGTGGATCTTTCCCAAGAGGCAAATGCCAACCTAAAATGGTAATAGGTATGGGCTGCATAAATAGCTCATTATCATAATGGAAAGGAGCCAATAATGGCATACTTTAACACCATCCAAAGACGGAGCAGATGGGAAGGTCTGATACTAAATAAACTGTTTCTATATCTAAAAGGCAGGAGCAAGATATTGAGATTTCATTTATTTATTTTTAAAATTTATATAGCCAACCATGTCAGAAAACAAATTACTCTGGGCAACGTACAACAAAGTTTAAAAAAATACATATATAACACACATAATAATAATAATAAACAAACTTAATAGTCAAGATCCAGACTCTGTCAAGGTCCTTGGAGTACTCATCTCTAATGATCTAAGTGCTAGAGCCCACTGTAACTACATCGCCAAAAAGGCATTAAGAGTTGTTAACCTAATCCTACGTAGCTTTTTCTCTGGTAATATCACACTACTAACTAGAGCATACAAAACATTTGCTTGAATACAGCTCATCAGTCTGAAACCCACATCATGTATCTGATATTAACACAGTTGAGAAAGTCCAGAAATATTTCACAAGAAGATTTCTCTGGACTTCCGGTTTGAGTTTCTTCGCTGACAGACCGAAACCGCGATTGTGTGCAGTTTTGATCTGTGCTTGCCGCCGGAGCGCCTTGAGCCGGCTGGCTTCGGGGCTAAGCCATCCCGTAGAGGTGGTGAAGAGGGGGGAGACTGCCAGCAGGGTTGAGGAGAGCCGCATCTCTTCTCCTCAGGTGGCCATTACTCCCTTTCCCAAAGGCGGTTGCAGCGATGGTCAGAAATGGCCACCTCAAAGAAGAACTCGACTGGAAAAGAATGTGCAGGAGGAAGATAAGGTGAAAGTCTTGGTTGACTGAGTTAAACTGCAAAAGCAACAACGCAAGGTACCCTGGTATTTAAACTATAAAAAAATAACATTGTTCCCAAAGAAGATTTTGAAGCAGCGAAGGAGAGAGAAAAGGGAAAGGATTTGGTTTGTTTTTTCTCTTCCCTTCTATATACTGACAGCTAAGAGACTTAAGCAAGAAATTGACATCAACAGGCATTTAAGCTGAAAATAAAATGTCAAAGGGATAATAAAGATTTCTGGATACGTAAAAGCTTTTAAAAGCAGGAAAGGAGAGAAAAAGAATAAAAGGGCAGGATCTGGAAAAATGGAGGAGACTGCCTGGAACTAAAACCTCAACAAGATTCCTAAAAGATATATTTTAACTGAAACTTGGCAACAAAATAGTAGAACCCTAGGAAGAGAAAGTTGAAAAAAGAAGCAAGAAGAAACAGCTTGGGATTATTTGGATTACTTGGTGATCTCTGGATTTTTGGTTACTGCATTTAAATGACTAAAATCAATTGGGTGGTTGTTTAAAAGTGTTTAAAATGGCACCACTTTTAGAAGAATTGAAAATGGAGCTTAAAAAGTACAAAGAAGATGCACAAGAAGGGAGAGGTTCTTTTGGCTTCGTATTTCAACTCTTAGAAATGGAGATCTGGAACTATGAGAAACAACAAGAAATGCTTGTAGAACAAGAAGATTGGGACAAAGAAGAAGCCATCTTTAATGATCAAGTAATTTTATGTGGGGAAAAAAAAGGAAAGCGGGGAAAGAGAATGAAAAGTTTAAGATTTGAAAAAGCAACCAAAAAAAAGAAGAATAGTTTGAAAAATAAGTATAATATTAGAAAGCAACAGAAGAGGGGATTACAGAAGAGAGAATTAGAAGCAGAGAGACAAGGGGGTAACAAGGGGAGGGAGAAGAAGAGAGGGAAGAAAGAAAGGAAAAGAAGTTATAAAGGACAGAAACAAGATATAGAGAAACAGGGCAAAGGTATAAGAATTGAAAGTATAAGCCTGTTTAGAGATAATGGGTGAAAACTTAATTATAAAAGGGATTCTGCAAAGGTACATAAGATAGTATTGTTATATTACAAATAGAAATAATCTTTGAAAATATTCTTAAAAAGATGGATAAAATATTTACTGTAATCTAGTGGAATGTTTGTTAATAAACAAATGAAATAAAGTGAAAGAGAATTAAATTAGGAAAGGATGGAAACATTTTAATTATTATTAATGATTTATAAAATATAAGTGAAGAGAAATATGGAAGAAAAAGTAATTATGGAAAGTTTATAAGTGTTCCCAAGGAAGTATGATATTTAATTGAAAAGAAATGCTAAAGATGTTAAGATGTTAAGGAATATTAATGATAGAATTGAATTGGAATGGAATGAGGGTTTATAATTATATATATTTATAATCCTTTTTTTAAAAAAAATATAGTGTGTATTATAAGAATGTACCAAGCACAATTCGATTGGAAGTTATGTATTATGTATTATATTGAAGGTCATAACCTTAAGGTATATATTGAAGTTTAAATAAGAGTTGAATGGATGTAGTTAAAAGATATAAAGGTGTCATACTCCAATTAGTAACTACAGGAGAAAATCTGTTTAATGAGAAAAGTTAATATGAAATTGAAACAGAACAGACAAAAGTATAAATATAATGATTTGAATTGAGCTGAGATAATCAAAATTAAATTGAGAAAATTAAAAGAGGGGAAAAACTATGTAGAAAATGTAAAACAGTAATAAGATATGGAATAGAACACAAGAATGAGCATGAAATTGAATATGTGTCTGTATGAAGAAGTGTAACCCGGGACCGTGCTATTTTCAAAAAAAGATGTTTTATTTGTATTATGTTGTTTTTTTGTGAAAACCCAATTTTTTTTAAAAAAAAAAGAAGAGTTCTCTGCTCCTCTACAATTGCAAAATACCTTATGCCACCAGACTTGAAACTCTAGACCTAGAAAACCTAGAACTACGCCGCCTTCGGTCCGATCTAAATACAGTATATAAAGTCATACATTTTAATGTCCTACCTGTAAATGAATACTTCAGCTTCAACCATAACAATACAAGAGCACACAATAGATACAAACTCAAGGTTAACTGCACCAAACTTGATTGCAGGAAATACGACTTCAGCAACAGAGTGGTCAATGTTTGGAATAACTCTACCTGACACTGTGGTTTCTTCCCCAAACCCCAAAAACGTTAACCTTAGACTGTCTACTATTGACCTCACCCCTTTCCTAAGAGGCCTGTGCATAAGTGCACCAACGTGCCTACCGTCCCTGTCCTATTGTTTCTTTCTTTTTTTTTCTTATTCTTATCCATCTCATGTATTCATAACTATGTTTATACTTATGACTGTTATCTTGTAAGCGATAGACAAATGAAATAAATAAATAAAAACATATTATTAATTAAAAGCACTAAATAAAATGTAGCTAAAAATAAAATAATGAGCAAAAGTATGTTAATAATAATGGAGCTACTGCACCAATTCCCTGAAATCCCAGATCTGATAGCACAACCAGGTCTTGAGGGATTTGGGAAAGTCAGAAGCCATGGTGCCAGCCTAACCTCAGGTGTGTGTGTGTGTGTGTGTGTGTGTGTGTGTGTGTGTGTGTGTGGAGAGGGGGAAGATATTCCACATAGACAAAATGACTTGCCACCTAGCCCCCACCAAATGTAACTCCCTGATGGAATCTGTAGCATTTCCTTTTTACTAGATCTGGTGGATGGAAAAATGTAAAAACCAGGGAGTCACCCGATTCTATGTAGGAATTTAAAGGTCCAAAACAGCATCTTGAATTGGACCCTGGAAACAAACTGATAACCAATGCAGCTCATGGACCAGAGGGGTAATGTATTTTATGAGGAACACATATAACTGCCTGTGCCATTGCATTTTGCATCAGCTGAAGATTCCAGATACTCTTCAAGGACAGTCCCATATAGAGATGGAGAATGCCTAGTCTGCCTCCCTCTGCCCACCTGGGAATTGACTGCTTTTCCTGCTTCTGGGGCTACGCTGCCTGCCAAGTGACAAAAATGTTCATGTTTGATGTCTGAAAAGCTATTGTGGAAAACAAATAACTACTGCTGCATTGTTGACATACAGAGAGCAAAGTCAAGTATGTTTAGTAAAATCAATTGAGTCTGAATGCATTCTCCTCTTTTGGAATAGTGCAACTCTGTGCTGAACATGTAACCAGTTTAAGTAATCTTTGCACTGCTAGGCTTTGTGCTTCTAGCAGTGTTATGACTAAGGCCCTTTCCCCACTTACATCTATCTGCAGTACAGGCATGCCCTAGCATCCTTCCAACCCCCCAAGGCCCCCCAAGCCCTCATGACATTGTCATAAGCTGTGAGTAGATAATTTATCATTGGAGTAACTCTGCCTCCTGAATCCTGAGTTTTGTTTCCCTTCTTTAGCCAAGGTAGAGTATATTTGGTAACTAACTACTAACAGTATTATGTGGGGTAACTTCAAGGGCATCCACAGAATCAAAAGTGAAATAATAAAAAAGCTGCATATGTGTGTGAGGTCATAATACACAAATAGTGCATGACAGTGTGATATTGCTTTCTCTATCCCCTCCACCCCCTTATACAATGGCCTTGCAGATATCTGTAGGAGGTTTTGTTGATTTGCTTATTCAGTCACTAGTTACTTTAAAAAAAAAATCCCCTGCTTTTGGAAAGCCAAACATGTTGAGTGAAGATGGAGGGCTGAATTGCTGGCTGGCTGCCATTTTGTATATCTTTTTCACCATAACAGTGATGCTGTCAATGCCATACTGCAGGGAGCAGAATTAGTGTTCAGTCTCTTTGCTGTGGGACGTTCCTCCTTCCACCTTTCTCCCTTCAAGTGTCAATCTGCATTAAATAATCACTAAGCATGCTCAGTCATCATTAAATTATTTCTGGATTTTTATTTCCCTTTGGTAAATCTCAAGAGTTTCTCCAAGCCTGCTAGTACTGCCCTTATGTTGCTGTTTTGTCTGTATAAGAAAAGACATTTGCAGCTTAAACCTAAGAAGCAGAGGCACATTTGCTGTGTGTCAACTTGTGATATTATAAAGTGGATGTTGTAGCGACATTGGTTATATGCAGATAGAAATGGGCCTGAGGAACCGAACGCATTGAATGAGTTTAAAATACATTAGATTTTATTGGTCTTTTGAAATTGTACAAGTGCAAACATAGATAGTCCTGCTTGTCCTATGCAGAAGTTCATTGATACTACTAAATCTGTTATTTTATCTCCTTTCTGATATTTTAGAAACTGGCCATGCTTCTGATCAAGTTTTTGGAGAGAGTTCTCCAGCCGTCTTGCCAAGTGACATGCTTGGAAAGCATACGAATTCTGTCCCGGGATAAAAAATGCCTTGGCCCTTTCACCACCATGGAAAGTTTGAAGACACTAGCCAGGCATGCTGGGATTGTTTACAGGGAAGAGCAAATCCTGGAGGTTCCTGATCTGGATGTAATTCTGGAGGCACTTAAGTGCCTCTGTAATATTGTCTTCAGTAGTCCCCGAGCTCAGGAACTGATGGCTGAGGCTCGGTTTGTGGTGGGCCTTACAGATCGCATCAAACTCTACAATGAGAGAAACTTCCCCCATGACATAAAATTCTTTGACCTGCGCCTTCTCTTTTTATTGACGGCACTAAGGGTGGATGTTCGGCAGCAGGTTGCACAAGAACTTCGAGGTATTGGTTTAATGACAGATACCCTGGAACTTACATTGGCAGTAAAATGGATCGATCCTCATGAGGTAGCTGCCAAAGGGGATCCTTCCCTGCCATTACCTCGGCAGGAGACAGAGCGTGCCATGGAGATCCTGAAGATCCTCTTTAATGTCACTTTTGATACCAACAAAAAGGAAGTGGATGAGGTAAGAAAGCCAGAGGTGACACTGAATGGTTTGTTCATAGACGTCTTAGCTTTTATTCTTCACAGGTAGTCCTTAAGTTACAACCATTTGTTTAGTGACTGTTCAAAGTTACAACAGTACTCAACAAAGTGACTTACAACTGGTCTCGCCCTTAACAACCATAGATTGAAATCCAGCATATATTAATAATGGTTGCAGCCCCCCCCCCCCCAGATCATGTGATTTGTAACCTTCCCGGCTGGCTTCTGACAAGTCAAAGGGAGAAGCTAGATTTGCTAAATGACCACACGACTCACTTAACAACTGCAGTGATCCTCTTAACAACTGTAGCAAAAAAAGGTCATAAATTGCTCATGACTCATTTAGCAACTGTCTTGCTTAGCAACAGAAATTATGATCCCATTTGTGGTCATAAGCTGAGGACTGCCCGTATTCACCATTTCATTTCACCTATGATTCCTATAGTTAGGGACATGTTTCAAGTCTTCCTGGATGTCCACATCTGGGATACACCAGGAATGAGCTTCCAGAGCAAACTTGCATTACTGTATTTGACCCTACAGCTCTTCCCCCTTCTTTACTGAATAATGTCTACTGACATACATGAAGGGGCAAAGGGAAATAAATGCTAGATAAGGCAGTTATGCTAATTCATCTGTTGCTATGGCTTTGCAATTTGTTGCAAATTAGGGAACCAGGAATTAACAGATCCTTTGTTTTACGTATGCTGATTTGCTTTGTAGATTTTCAAATCCCACGAATGACATTTCCCCCTTGAACTTAAATGTATGTTTGGTTCTGAAAATGCATTGCTGGAACATTCTGTATCAATAAACAGACTGCCTAAAATAAAATTGTGCTCTTTTCTCATACTAAAAAGTTTTAATTTTGTTTTCGGGCCAGGAAGATGCTGCTCTGTACCGACGTCTAGGTGCCCTTCTCCGTCACTGTCTGATGATTTCAGCAGATGGTGATGATCGGACTGAAGAATTTCACAGGTGACTGTATTGCCAATAAAACAAACAAAAAATACACATAACAATATTAAATGATCAATAACCATAAAATTGGTAGGTTTAGTAATAAAAGTAGGGGAGGAACGGGGAAAGCCTGGAAATTATATAGTAGCTAATTATAGAACAGCTAAATAATTTGGGCTATGTTGCTTAAAATATTTTCCTCACTGTTGACAAAAACCGTGTATCACCAATTCATTACTGCAGATTAGATATAGATTTCTCTTTCTCCTACATTTATAGTAAAATAAATGTAGTATTAATGTGCCCCCCAATATCTACTTGTAAACCACTTCTGGATTTTGAGATGGAAAAAAGATGAAACATTGACTTGGGGTTTTGCTGATTAAATAAGTTTGTTGTTACAGAAATGTTTAATACATGTTATTATGTTTAAGTAAAAAGTTGAGGTTCTATGTTATCTTATTCTATTGTGCTAAAAACATTCAGAAGTCAACACTTTTCTTTCTTTTTTCCTTTCCCCCCCTCTTCCCATTATTTTCATTTGTATTTTATACTTTGATAAGTTGAATGAAACTATTAAAAGAAAAAATGTGGACCCCAATACAGCATACAGTAATTCTTAGTAGTGAAAAGAGAATATTATGACTGAGATTGCTTTAGTGTTGAAAAATTATGCAAGTTGTGTATTTAAAAAGTAGAGGATTTTTTGTATTCTGCTTGATGTCCTTGACACAGCCAACTTTAGATAGTGATAAACATTATCAGCAGGAAAGGCTCTTCTGAAAATATTTGCTGTTACTGCTGAAAATTTCCTATTGTATTTAGTACACAGGAGAAAGTCTTCCCTAGTGATCTTAGGGTAGGAATTTAGGAAAAATAGTGAAAATGCAACTCTCTTTTCATTAGTTGAATTAACTTTGATTTCATTGATGTGAATTGTAATTTTGCCTTGAATTTAATTATAATCAGTATTACTCTTGTATTTTGTCATTTGTGTTTGATCTATTGTAAACCATGTTAATTAATGTGTAAGGGGAGACACTGATGTACTGTACATTTAATAATAGTATGCGGGCACATTGCACATTATGAACGAGATCTGGCAAATTTGTGACTTCTACTGGACTTCTAAAAATGGTTATATAGCAGCAGATGGAAAAGACAATGGAAGCTTGAACTAAAAGGGAAGGATTTGCTAAATCCTTACTAAAAAGGAAGGTTTTAGAAGGCACAATTTGAAATTTGTTCTATTGCTAGAACCTGGAAAATACTAGAGTTTTCAGAATGAAACAGCCTTTCATTTATATTGGTGGCTAATTTTTTCCTGTTTTGCCTTGTATCCTGCCTTCAGCCATACAATCAACCTTTTGGGCAATCTGCCTCTCAAGTGTTTAGATGTTTTGCTGACTCCCAAGGTCCACCGGGGCTCCCTTGAATACATGGGAGTCAATATGGATGCTGTCAATGTTCTCCTGAGTTTCCTTGATCGACGTCTTGATAGGGTAGGTAAAGGGAAATCTTTTCACAATTTCCATGCTTGTCCCAAGCTACTTTGATTTATGATGATACTCATGTTTGATTAGGATTCATCTGAGAGTCCATCCTGTGTTTAAATATATGACATTTATCCTACCACATGAAGATGGAAATCTCAATTATTTATCATTCTCTAAGAAAACTTACGTAATAGCAATCAGCCTGATACAGGCAGGTAGTCCTCGACTTAAAAAAATCATTTAGTGAGCATTTGAAGTTACAACAATACTGAAAAAGTGACTTATGACTGTTTTTCACACTTTGGACCATTGCAGCATCCCCATGGACATGTGATAAAAATTCAGATGCTTGGCACCTGACTCATATTTATGACAATTAGAGTGTCCCGGGGTCATGTGATCGCCTTCTGACATGCAAGGTCACTGGGGAAGGCACTTTCATTTAATAGCGATGTTACTAACTTAATAACTGCAGTGGTTCACAACAACTGTGGCAAGAAAGATCATAAAATGGGGCAGAACTCACTTAACAAATGTTTCACTTAGCAACAGAAATTTTGGGCTCAATTGTGGTCGTAAGTCAAGGACTACTTTTTAGTAAAGAGGTAGCAACAGCATAAATGGTTATTATCTGACATGTGAATAGGTTGAATAGAGAATATTCCAGAATTGCATTGCCCCATTGTGTTCTGACCAAGGCTTATTGAGGCACTAACAAACACACGTTAGTCCCAGAACCCTTTTTTCTTTATTGCAATGGCTGTGAATTTTATTCATTCACAGCTTGTAACGAGTCTCAAACAGTTTGTAAATAGTTCCATGGAAGCCTGCCAAAGTCCTTCAGGATAAGTCTGATAAGCACACACCTTTATCTTCCTTGAAATGCTGCCAATGACTAAATTTCCAATTAGTTATACAAGGCCAAATGGAGCACAAATTCAACACAGTTTCAGATTTCAAACTGACCAGTATGAACAAAGTTGCTTCCTGCAAAGGTTCATGTCCCTTTGCTCCTCCTTTGTCTTATGGGGGGGGGGGGGCAATCACCTCCAAGCCTTACTCCCAAGTTGCCCCTTTTGTCTTAACTGTTCTTGCCTTCTGACAGCTCTGCGCATGTGCACACTGGGAACAGGCTCACCTTGTTCCCCTGCCTCACTGCTGTCAGATTCTGGAGGCTCCGAGTCAACACATAACTCCCAGATGACCCTGGCCCCATATCTGTATCATCTGAGTCCTCCCCAGACTGGCCCATATTCCTCCCCACTGTCTGACTCTGCTGCTGTCTCCACAGGCTGCTGATGGGCCACAACACATTGGTTATTGGGTTAATACAACTTCTTACCGGCTTAGTGAGAGGCAGATTTAATTTTGGGAATAGGAAATATTACCGTTTCTTTCTCCTTTTCTCTATGTTGCTGTTTAATTGTTATCATAGCTCCATTGCCCTGTTTTCCCATTGCCAAAATAAAAGTTTAACAAGATATATGTTTATACGCTGTTCTAGTTTAACAGTATATATGTCTTTGTGGTTATGTGACAAAATGGCGAACAGTATTCAGCCCAAATGGACCTTCAGTGGCTAGGCAGAGAATCGAATAGCCAAGGTAAGCATCCCTTGGCATGGTGCCATTACTTCCCAAGTAGGAATACTAATGTAGAAATCTTGAAGGCAATATCCAGTAGAGTTCATAAGGATAAGCTAAAAAATCACAACAAAGTCAAAACACAAGCTTCTGCAATCTCCCATCTTCCAAAAACGAAAGAGAAACATTTTAGGAGGAAGAAGGCAGTGAAGTACTTGAAGGATATGGGCATTGGGCACAACTGACTGCATACCATATTGCAAGTTAGTAAGGCTGCTCAGAGTAGAGCAGTAAGATTGGTCCTGAATTTTTACACCAGATATATATGGATTTTCTCCACAGGATAGGAGAAGCTTTATAGCCTTATGCCTTCTCTGCCTTATAGCTAAAAGGAGGTGGAATTAATACTGTTCTGTCAGATCTGTCTTACACCAATCAGAAAGATATATCTTAGTCCAAATGATCCCTGCTTCTGCGTTTCATTAATACAGGTAATCCTTGACTATGACTATCATTGAATCTGCCCATCATAGTCAAAAGTTGTGACAGTGATAAAGCAAGTCACCCACCATGTAACACCCAATTTTATGACCTGTTTTGCGACTGTTATTAAGCAAACCCAGTGGACACTATGGGATGCTTTTGCTGAAAACATTTTTTTTTGGCTGTAAATTCTGGTTTTCTACAAAAACATCATAAATGGCAATTATGGCCTGCAGGATGTTGCAAATGGTCATAAATGCGCTGGTTGCTGAGTGCCCAAAATGTGGTCATGTGACTGCGGGAGGGAAGCAGCTATTGGAACTTTGGAACCAGGTCGTAAGTACCTTTTGAGGAGTCCATTATAACTTTGAATGGTCGCTAAGGGACTGGTGATAAGTCAAAGACTACCTGAACATGAAGCAACTCTCACTCAGACATTAATGCAGAAGAATATTGCTTTTTGCATGCATTAATGTTAGGATTATTCATTATGTAAAAAAAAGAAAAGACTCCCTCAAGTCAAGCTGACGTTTTAGTGATTGCACAAATATTTTGGGGCTATTGGCAATAATACAAAGGTGATTTGTAGTTGTTTTTTTCTGGGATTTTTTTTAATGTCCTGGTCTAGACTATAATTATGGGATGTCCTGATAGTTTTCTATCTAATTACTAACCAGGTTTGATCCTGCAGAGCTTTTGGAATTAAACTTTGACTAGATGCAGCTACCTGCTAGGTCATGCATTATAAAAAAAAGCTATACAGGTAAACATTGAACGTAATAATGGCAGGACATGAAATATGTGGTAGCACTTGCTAAAAGGGAAATTGGGGAGGAAATTTTATGTAAAAATAAAGCTTAGATGGCTTTCCTAAAAAAATAGTTTTTGTCTTGGGAATTGCGATTTTTTTTAGTGAAAATCAACCACATTAGTTGAAATTGCAGAATAACTGCAGGTTCTTTGCTGACCTGCAGTTATTCTGCAATTTCAACTAATGTGGTTGATTTTCACTAAAAAAATTCCATACCGCCAAACCATTTTCATGCATGGAAGACTTAAAGAACAGTTAAATCTGTTTCTTTTTACGCCTCTTTCCCAGGGTCATAAACTCAAGGAGAGTCTTACCCCGGTGTTGAACTTGCTGACTGAAAGTGCCCGGGTCCATCGACAGACAAGGAAATTCCTTAAAACAAAGGTACAACATGATCCAAAATTCATAAGGCAGTATTCACGAAAGCCAGAAAGCAAACAGGTGTTCCTGGCAAACATACCTTCTCCTGGCATCTGGTTAAATAACCCTTCCCCAGGTGTTCCTTGTGAGATGAGATGGGGCTGCCTCCTGGCAAGCAGCCTCGCAAAGCTCCTTTGTGCCTCCCTCTGTTCTCTTCTCCTCACCTACGGATGGGATGGGGAGGTAACTGTTCTTCATCAGAGGTAGTCTGGAGCTTGTCATCTCCATTGGGCCTCTGCGGCTGCTCCACTCCTGCAGGTGGTTCTCCATCTGGTCGGCTGCCCTCTCCCACTGCCAGATGGCCCCAGAACCACCTCATCCTCAGCCCTTGGCCTTTCCACTCATTCAGAGGGGACCATGCCCTCCCCGGTTTCTTTCTCCTTCTCCAAATCAGGGTCCAACGAAGCCATGACAGTACAAATGGGAGGAGTTATCAATATATCAGTACATCAAGAAGGCATCTGTGTTTAGTGTTAGGATGAGATTATTCTTATTGAGGCACTTTTGATGCAGTACTTTCAGGCCTTGATGAAACCAAGTTTAATATGGCTCTAAGCATCACTTTTGGCTTTCCATGGATTCACAGGTTCTTCCTCCATTACGGGATGTGAAGAATAGACCTGAGGTGGGAAACCTGCTGAGAAATAAACTTGTACGCCTCATGACTCACATTGACACGGATGTGAAACACTGTGCTGCGGAGTTCCTGTTTGTACTCTGCAAGGAAAGTGGTAATTATCCCTACTCTCTCTTGTTCATCTCGGGCCTGTGTATGCTGGCAATTTGAATCGGTAAATAGGAACAAGCTGATCCGTCTGAGATGTTATTTGGATGGGGGCTGAATATTAAGAATGCAGGTAAACTGGAAACTCATAGATCATTGGGCTAAATTACATTGCATGGAAATGTAGGGAAATGTCATTCACTGGACCAATTTTAAAATTAGGGAAGAAGATAAATAAACTTGAATAAAACTTGTTGCTGCCAGACTTGTGAGTTCTTTGTACTGTAGTTGTTGATCAGACTTTTCCTCACAGCAAAGCTACTGTTGGATTTCTTGAACATTACAACAGGAAAAGCAGCTTTGCAAAGATGCCTTTTTCAGAGTGGTATTCCTCTTTTAAATGCTTTGCTTTGTTGACAGTATGCCACCTTCTAACATATGTGACATCTACCTAATATAGTTATACTAACTTGAGGAAAAGGTAAGAAGTGGCCTAAAGAAGAATAGAATTAAATTTTTACCAGGTTCACTCTAATGCTATATAAGAATGATACTAAATAAGTGGTGACAATCAAAGAGTTTTTTCCAGTCCAAATGAGTGATGCTTCCATCCAGCTGTATCAGTAACAGAGGAACAGAGTCATCTCAGCTTCTTTCTTATCTGTGATTTGTGGGTTTGCAAGTATCTACCTCCTTGAAAAGTTAGTCTGATAAAGATGAGACATATGGCACTACTATTTGAATTAATTTACTTCTACACTAATAAGAGAAAGTTTGACCTTCTATGTCTCCACAGTGTCACGGTTTGTGAAGTACACGGGATATGGAAATGCTGCTGGTCTTCTGGCAGCACGAGGCCTCATGGCTGGGGGACAATCAGAAGGAGAATACTCTGAGGATGAAGATACTGATACAGAGGAATACAAGGAAGCAAAACCCAAGTAGGGATGCATTTCATGCTTTGCTTCCTTAAATATGATCTTTGCTTCTGCTTCTTTGGCGCAAATCTCTGTCATATCTGAATGCTAGAATCTTAGCATAGATGAGATGGAATGAACCTTATAAGTCATTTCCAGGAATCCATGAAACCAACCAGCCTCTCTATGAATATCACAGCTGTTTTATACAAAGCCCGCTTTGCTGCTTAAGAGCTCTTACCATAAAAATACCTCCTGACACTCAATTCAATCTCAGTTTTTAATTTTTTAAAAAGACCTATTGGTCTTTGACTGCCCCTGGCTCATTTTATTATTTGATTTCTCTTACATTTCTTCTTTTCTATTTGCTTCTTTGTTCACTTCTTGCCAAATTATTCCACAAATAGACAATTCCTTTTACCTCCAGCTCTTGACCTAATTGACAGTGACAATTATCAAGAGTCAATTGCCCAATAGATACCCACAAAGTTGTACTCTAGGTATTTTGCCATTTTCTTTTTAGTTACATCTTATTTTAAAATTGGAGGAAGGTGAAGCAGGAGGGAAACACACAATGTAATATGTTTCCCTCCTGCTTCACCTTCCTCCAGTTTTTCTGCAAACATTTATTGTACATTTACATACACTTACTTAACATGTAGGAAAGCAACTGCTCTATGTAAGATGTATTAAACTGGGAATTTCCTTGTAACCTTAGAAGTAAGAATAGTAACTGAAAATTAATGGACAAACTGAATAAGAATAATGGAATGGACATGTTTTGGGGAGAAAAACACAACATCACCTGCATATTCTATATAGTTCCTCTTCATTTTAATAGCATGCGTTTGTGTTAATCAAATGAATATTAGAGTATATTTTTAGGCTACTCGCCAAACCTTTTTTACTCTTTTCCATTAAAAAACAACATCCAATTTTTTGATTTTTATGACTGGAAAAGCTGATCATAGTTACTTTCCTGAAAATATATATGAAGAATTGGATTTGTTGATTCATTGTTTTTCATATATACTACCTTCTTTTCTTTGGGTTACTATGTGATTCAACTATTTAGCATTAATCCCATTACTGGACGTGTGGAAGAAAAGCTTCCCAATCCAATGGAAGGGATGACAGATGAACAGAAGGAGCTTGAAGCAATGAAACTGGTGAACATGTTTGACAAACTCTCCAGGTACTAAGGGATTCAGCATAATTATCCAGAAATGGATTGTTATTAGGAAGAAAACAATAGGTTAAATCAAAAACTCTTAAGATACAACATTAACAATGGATTCAGTTTCAGACAGGTTATTTCAACCTATTTAATTTTCTTTGGACTAATTTGCTACTGTTTGATGGTTCTGTTAACATTGGAAGAAATGCCTGAAGACAACTGTGAGCCCAGAGGATGGTTGAAGAGATTTATTCTTCCTCATTTACCTGTATTACTATAATCTCTGCACTGAAAGAGACTGAGGTAGTGCCCTGCCTTCAAAGTTCAATAACAGAGTCCAGGACAGATTGTCCGTAATCGTTATCATACTATGGTTTTAAAAACATGTTTGGTCTTGCTGAAAAATCTTGCTTTATGTGAAAAGTGGGAAGTTTTAAGAGATGAGAATAAGAAGCCTCTGACAAAGGCTGAAATGATATCAGAAAGAATGACTGAGCAGTTTTCTGGTTAGCTCAACAGAGAAGGATATTAGGGCTATTACTTTCAAAATTACCAGTGGCAATTCTAACGTTGGTTTGGCCTTACTACAGAACATTAAGGATCGCAAAATCATGTTCTTAGGCTGAGTTCACACATCGTAGTAAATGGCTAATGTGTTTTGCAGGGGGATATGACTTGACAGTTTAATTATACAAATTATTTTGTTTGGGTTTCAAAATTCCGATTGGATTCTATTAAAATGCTGCTTGACTCATATGACGAAAGCATAATTTTACTACTTTAAGTAACATCCTAACGGCAGAGTAAGCAGGGTGGCTACCTGAAGAATTTGCATTCCATATTATTTAGTAGTATCTCCTGAACAACCTTCATGTGTGAACTATTGAAAAATTTGGAAAACAGCTTCTTAATAAGCTGGTCTTTTACTCATTGAGTTTGCTTTCTAAGATCTCCACAGAACTGAGACTCAGGAAACTTGGTCATGTTCCTTTGGTAATTAAAAGAATCTTAATAGGTTTGCCATATATCAGTTCTAAATCCAGTATGGATTTCCATAAAGGTTTTTAAAAACTGAGCTGAAAAAGGCATCTGATTAGGGCCGAGATGAATTACAAATCACTTAAGTTTTTAATATAAAACAAATAGCAATTACATTTCAAAGTGTCTGTTTAGAATCTTTTGAAGTTTCATACCTTTTTCAAAAAATGTCTGTTAGCAAAACCAGTCCCAGTACATGCATTGTGGATCAATCTCTGGAAATGTTAGGATGATGATGATGATGATTTTTTAAATAATTTTTACTAGAATATTTTTATATTTTCTTTCAGTTTTAACAAAAGGACTCAGATCCTCACACAAGATCTTCACGACTTAATTGATGAACACTCATTATGTTCACTTGTCAGAAAACATTTTGTGACAGTTTTCTGTAAGGCTTTTCTCTAGGGTGAAATCACTTTTTTTCATCCCTGTAATTTCTTCTTCTTTTTCCCTCCTTTGAAGGCAGCAAATCATCAGACCAATGGGCCTGGATCCTGATGGCAATTTAAGCTCTATCAACGTAACCTCCTTGGATGAAGCTGTTCATCAGATAGCTGAGCAGAGGTTATCATCTGATTCTGATTTGGAAATAGACTGAGTCACCCTCCTCTATTTTTCACAAATATATGGACCTGCTATTGTCTCTTATATCAGGACTGATCTTCTGATACAAACACCTGGAAAAAGACTTTCGGTGGCTTAGATTCCTCCACCCAGATCCATCCATTCTGCTTAGCAGCCCTATAGCACTTCTTCTGTTGAAAGCTTTTTACAGCTTTATTTTTCTGACTATCTTTTCTCATTGTTTAAGAGTCTCATCCTCTGATGCATCCCAAAGACTTTCCAGCAGATTGGCAAGGATGCAAGAGAGGGTGGTTTCAAGTGAGCTTATAGCACATGAAACGCTTAAGCGTACATACATGTAGTCAATTATTTAGGAAGAAAAGTGTATGAATTAGGGACTTATGTTAATCCCTGGGCCAAGCACAACATTTAAAAACTGTATGTCATGGTTGATACACATGGGAACTGTAGACAAATATGAATGTGTATGTATAGTATACATGTCTAGAAATATATGATAAAAATGTGTGAACAAAGTGTGCATTTTTATGAATGTATTGCGTGACAATCAGTGTAGTTGCACACCATTCCTTTTTAGAACACCTTAAGGATGGTTGGAAATATTCATGAAAGAGCCATTGTTGAAAGTATGACTGTGTGCAGATAGTGTGTGTGTGTGTGTGTAGGTGCAAGGAAGTACGTTTAATTAAATATGGAAATGTAGGGTTTCTAGGGAAGAAATGGACAACTAAAGACGGGACCCAACAATTGCAGTTGAATAAAGAGACAGAAAAATGGACCAGCTTTTTTGGATTCCTCTCCAGGCAAGGAGAGGACTTGGGATTGCCCACACATGGCCCAGACAGTTGCTCCTCATGGTAGTGCCCAGCATGTTTAGGGCTTTGGGAAAAGAGAGAGCACGATCTTCCTCCAAACTGCAGCCCATGTCTTTACAGACACATGGTTCGCATACTTTCTTTTTTAATCACTTGGAAATTGCTTACTAGCTGCTTTCAGAATCCTTGGAACAACAGATTTTACAGCGGTGGGTAAGTTTAGTTCAATCCTTAGCAAAAGAAGTTTTAAATTAAGTTTAAGGACTTTAAAAAAAACTTTTTGATTAAATAGCAAAAAAAAGTGATTGGAACATTGATTTTTGGAAAGTTACAAATGGAGTAAAGCTCCAGATAAATTTGAACTAAAATTTTGAAATTAATTATAAGAATCCTTCCCAGGGGAAAATGCTGTCCTTTTGAATTCTTTAAACAAAACATTATAAAAATTGGATGCCAGAGAGAACTGAAATTACAATGAAAGGAGAGGACACTTAAACTTGACTTACTAGTATAGAATGGAACAAAATACTGTAAGATTGGACTTTTTGAAGGATATTTGTGAACAATGGTTGAAAAGTTAATTTTCAGAATGTCTGCCATTATAAATAGACTGTGTTTAAAAGATGTTATGGAAGAGGAACAGGTTTTCCTAGATAAGCCTGGGATTATCTAAAGGTAATTTAAAAATGACAGGCTATACAAATGATATAGAAAAAAAAATGCTACACTGGATATACATTGTATGTGAGAAAGAAAAAAAATTCTAAAATATTTGAAGGGATTAAAAATCAAATTTATTAAAAGTAAAAAGTAGAAATATAAGTTGATTTATTTGATCAAGTTAAATATCTCTGGTAATGGACTTTTGTTGATCAGGATTAATGAAGTTTTAAGGATTTGTTTATAGATCTTATATATGAGATCTAGTAAGAAAATTTGTATTTTAAGACACGATAAAAAATATTAAAATTGTTTATGTTTGTGATGAAGGGGTGGAGTCATTTCTTGATATTCAATTTCCTTAGTATGTTTTTTGTTTTCTGCACTATTTTTTTCTGTTCATTCTTTTATTTTTTTTCTTAGTTTGTATTATCATTTAAATTTTTAATTATGGTATTTAATAAAATCACCAACAAAATATGGGAATATATGGGAAATACAGAAATGTATTTTGTCCGCAATGAAGTATATGTAGAAACAGTATTTGCAGTAGGACTTTGATCTTTTCAGTCATATTACATTTGTATTCCTCTTCCTAAATGTTTAGTTGTCTGAAATAACATTGCTCTTTGTACTGCTGAGACAAAAAAACTGCTTTATTTCCAGAAATTACCTGCTTTATTTTCTCTATTTTTGATAGCATTTTATATTCACAGATTGCTTTCTTCCTTTAAACTTCCCAGTTTAGAAAGGAATTCCATTTCCCAGCTTGTTTTCATTTTACTAGAAATTCAAAACTTAGCACAAATGTAAATTAAAAATTTTCATTGGAATAAACAAACCCTTCCAATACCAACATGTATACTTTTGTCTATAATTATTTGGGTGGTGATTCTTGAAAACAGATGGATATTTATAAAAGATGTAAGCAAAGCATAGCTAAAATCAATGTGGATGATTTCAATTTACAGAAATGTTCCAATCAAGACAATATTGAGTTGATAAGGGAAGGAGAAAATATCAATCTCATTAATTATATACTCAATCTGTAGTGATTGGAAGATCCAACCTGGGTTATTGTTCTTTCAGCTACTTCTAATTTGGAGTAGAAAAGATTTTGTCAGTTTTTGAAGATAATATAAGCAAGAAAGGGTAGTTTGTGACTTTCCTCAGATTTTGCTGGATTACATTTCAAAGCTTTTTTTTTTTTTTTTACCTTAGCCTATTTTGGCTAAGGCTGTTGAGAGTTGTAGTCTATCAACACATTTCTGAAGAGCTCTTCACTATTATTGGAATGATTAATATAAAATGAAACCAAAAACTAAAAAGGCACACCACCATCTCTTTTAAGAAGATAATAAACAGGAAACTAGTTAACTGAGGTTGAATCTGCTGAATGGATTCAACCAATGTTTCAATGGTTTGATGTATTGATGAAACCAAATTATAAGGATTTTTTGAAATATAAGTATTAAATAAAATCAAGGTAGGGAATGAAAGCTTTAATTAATCAAATGAAAATACTGAGCTATTGTTAAAATAGATTTTATTTTGCTTTAAATTGAACTGTAGTTGCAAATGCTACACATTCATCCAGCA